TACGTACTACTACTACTACTACTAACTACGTAACTACACTACAACTACACTACACACACACACACACACACACACACACTATACACACACACACACACACACACACACACACACACACACACACACACACACACACACACACACACACACTCACTCACACTGTGCAGTATTTTATAGCGATCTTGTTCATAGCCGTCATGAACAGCTGATGAAATTCCAGCGAGGTACTAACCAGCTGAGTATTAATGTTGATTAAATAACGTGTGTAGGCGACGAGTCGTGTTTCCCTGGATGCGGATGCTCTCAATGAAAGCCATCAAAGCGCGCTATGTAATTGCCAGCTAATGTCCGCTCACCGCATTGACTGTTGTAGCTTGAGTACGATGTGTAAGGCGCTAATTCATTGACAGCATGTATTTTCACAGCGGTGCATGCACGTCGTTGGAAATCGACGAACGACGCAGATTCGCGCTAATGAGCAGTTATTTTTAGCTTAAATCTGCGTCGCTGTACAGTCAGTCGTAACCGCACGAACTTCTATAACGCCCAAGAAACATCCGAGGTGTATAATAATCAAGCGTACATCTCGACTCGAGCGTGTAAACTGGGTCTCTCTAGTCAACTGGCTAATTTATTCATAAATTTAATAGAATTAATCGTCATTAATTTCGTTCAATTAGGTAAGGGCTTTCGTATAACATAATCGCTGCAGGTTACATATTTAGCATATAGTAAATAATTGATTATAAAAGCATGGTGACCTAAATGACAATTAAATGCTTTAATAAATCCTGGGAATTATCAGTAACATTGATTTTTTTCTCTGATAGCCAGATATATAATTTCTAGGAGCATGAAAATCATCTGGGCCACGATACTCAAGACATAGCTAAAGACGGGATGGCGTCATTTTATGAACAATGCCTGCCGATAGTATAGCATAACACGATCGCAACTAGTTGCATTTATGCATATCTAGTGTACAATTAAGTTTAAAAGAATTATGAATAATTAGGTTTATTGACCACTCTCGTTTAAAGATGATGTGATGTAGGCAGCGTTAGGACAAACGTCTTGAGCCATCACTACTGTGGACGTCTCGCGGTATTCCACTCGATAAAGCTCCAGGGGCTCGGTGCAAACATGTGGCGCAATGTTAACACCGATCGACTAGTTTCGACGTATGTTTTTCTCTCGTCAGTTTTCTCAAACCTTTTCCGTCTCGAATGGCGCTGCCGGCTCTCATTTGAACAGGGTTTTCTCGTCCACTTTCAAACCAAGAGGCAGGCAACTTATCAGCTCGTCGTCGAGGCAGTTAAGAAGGTAACCGTGCGGCGTGTATATCTTTACGTGCCGATCGCCGTTGCGCGTGTAGTCTTTCACGTTTCCGCGGTGAAGTTCGCTCGGACAGGTCAGCTGGTCGGATCCGAACGTGTAGCGGAATCGGCCGCGCTTGTCCAGTATGGCGAGCTTGTTGTCGTGGGCGTCGATGACCACTAGGTCGCCGTTGGGTAGAATGGCGAGCCCCTGGTCGGCGGCGATGCGTATCTTCTGCTGTTTCTCTTCGGGAAGTTGCGTCGACTGGTCTTGCGAAGGAGGTCTGGCGACGGCGGCAGCGGCAGCGGCGGCGGCGGCGGCGGTGGCTTTCTTCTTGTTTGACGTCACCGACGACTTCTTGAGACCCGTCGTCTGCGTCGCGCAGCTCGTCGTCGCTACGACGTCGGTCGACACCGCCGCGTCGACCGCACTGCCACCGCTAGAGGGCGTTCCGTGCGCCTCCTCCTCGTCGTCCTCCTCGCTGTCCGACGACTCGTATGGGTTGCGTATCCTGCCGAGGCACGTGTGACCTTCGATGAACTCGAACTTCCGGTGCGCCGTTTCCGGCGTCGGTCGCACTTCGTCGTCGTCCATCTGCGTCTGCAGCGCGCGCTCCAGCTCCTTCCTGACGACGAGAAACTCGATGTCCTTGCAGCGCAGCGAGTCGGCGAGCTTGCAGTTCTTCGCCAGCCGCTCGTGGGCGTCGCTGACGTCGGCGTGCGCGTCTAGAAAGGCGATCGCTCGGCCGTAGTGTCGGCGCAGACGAGCGACGAGTCGCTCCTCGTCGGCGCGCACTTTCTCGATCGTGCGACGCGCATGCGCGCGGACGCGCGTCTCCGTCTCGTGAAGGGCTATCGAGCACGTCTGCATGTCGGCGAGCTGCTCGCGGAGTTCCTCGAGTCTCGTCCGACACACGGCGAGCAGTTGATCGAGGCGACGTCGGTACTTGCCGACGCCGTCCCTGAGTGCGCTCACCTCGTGTCCGGCGTGCTGCTCGAGCGTGCACAGCACGCACACGAGCCGACCGCACGGGTCGCAGTAGTAGCGAGCCACCTCGTCGACGTGAGCGTCGCACGACGTCGCCTGCTCCGGCGTGTCGGCGTCGCAGATCACGTGCTCGGCGGTGATTCTCGTGCGTCGGTGCGCGTCGGCGCAGTCGCCGCACAGTCGCTTCTCGCAGTCGAGACAGCGCGACGTCGCTTCGGCCACCGCCGTCTCCTTTAGCTGCCGACAAAACTCACATCGCGACGCCTTCCCCGCACCGCGTTTTCGCACCACCTCGCCGAGACTCGTTACGAAGAAGTTGTCCAGGAGGCAGGCGACGCCGCCTAGCGGCAGGGCGGTGTACTTGCGGCAGGTTGGACACGGCAGGTCGCGGTAGCCGCCGTACGCGCGGCCACGCAACGACGTGACGTGGTCCCTGAGACACTTCTCGCAGAACGTGTGAAGGCAGGAGAGCGTCTTCGGTTTGATGAACTCGCCACCGCACATCGCACAGCTGAGAAACTCATCAACGATCTCCTGCATGAACTTGACGTTGGCGAGTGAGCCGCCCGCCGCCATTTTCCTGCCCAAGAATATCAAGTAGAACAATATATCAACTATAGCACAATATATCAACTAGCACAATATATTAACTAGCACAATATATCAACTATAGCACAATATATCAACTAGCATAATATATTAACTAGCACAATATATCAACTAGCACAATATATCAACTATAGCACAATATATCAACTAGCATAATATATTAACTAGCACAATATATCAACTAGGACAATATATCATCTAGCACAATATATCAACTAGCACAATATATCAGCTAGCACAATATATCAACTAGTACAATATATCAACTAGCACAATATATCAACTTGCACAATATATCAACTAGCACAATATATCAACTAGCACAATATATCAACTAGCACAATATATCAAGTAGAACAATATATCAACTAGTATATGTACATGTACATGCACATGTATACGTACGTGTACTACTACTATATGTATACGTACGTGTACTACTACTATATGTATACGTACTTGTACCACTACTCTATGTGTACGTATGTGTACTACTACTCTATGTATACGTACGTGTACTACTACTATATGTATACGTATTTGTACCACTACTCTATGTGTACGTATGTGCTACTACTACTCTATGTATACGTACGTGTAGTAATACTATACTATATTTATACGTACGTGTACTACTATGTGCACGTATATGTGCACGTATATACTCGCAACTGGGTTGAGAGGCAGTTTCCGTCCCGCGCCGTTGTAGGTACTGACTGCGGTGCGCTGCATGCAGATCAGCTCGTGTATATCGGTGACTCACGCCTCTAGGCCCACCCACCCACCCCCCGTGAGAGCGCTCTCTGACGGTGTATAAACACACACACGGCAGCTGGTTGCGGCTGGCGGGCGAACGCGTGCCGTCACGTGACCGACTCTGTCGCGGGACGTCGGCGTGACGACGGGGCGTCGCTGTGTTTACGCGCGCTGCCGACATTCGATACGTTAGCGTGTGGACGCAAACGACGCAACGACCGCACTCGTGGTAAACATTGTCGCAAGGGTCACCGTCGCGTGGTACGTGGCCGCGCATCGTCATTGAAGATATCGAGATGCATAGGCCTACTAAACGTAGATACGCGGCTCAGGTCACCGCGTGGTTAGAATTGCGTAATACCGATTTACAAAGACATGTTCAATATCTGAAATGGTTCAATAACGCTTGCATGACTTGTATTAAATATATATATATATATAATGCAGTGGGTGAACATCCGTGCTTCATCGCTTCCACGGTCGACAGATTACTATCGACGTAAGCTTCTTTATAAGCAGAGAATATGGATGATTAAACTACATTGATCACTGCCAGCTCTCTTATACTGAACCCTGTGTGTAAATTCTTTTTTTATGATAATCAATATTAAGGTACACGTTTCGTCTCCGTCATCATCGGATAGGGAATGTGTGCATATTGAAAATGCGTAGCTAAGTCTCAGGTGCTTGGCAAGTATTTTTGGCCTAAGCCGGTGCCTATACTCCTAACTATACGGTGACGTCACCACGGATATGTACCAAGCTACGTATATAATATATCGTCGCGAAACAGACTGTCATTTTGTCGATTGTCATTTTGTTTTTGTACGTACAGGGAGCAGTATGGAATACGATGAATGTTACTCGCGCTGTATTGATACCCGGTATCTTCTTCCGAGAGTCACCCCACTAGCTATGGCCGAGGCCTAGTCTAACCCTTTTGGCCCCACGACCCCATCAGACATTCTTGGTCAGTACCGTGACACCCGAAATAAAAATTGAAAATAAACAGCCCGATTTATGAAAACATTTTCATTTTTCATTAATTCATTTATGACCCCTTGATGACTCCGGAAAACCCCAAATGACTACATGGGGTCACGACCCCCAGGTTAAGAACCGCTGGGCTAAAAGTATTAGGGTAAAAAATATTATAGGTAACTCATATAGTTATATAGTCATGTAGTCAAGTTAAAAGACTGAAACTAGCCGTTTTTATCGTATTCACTTTTGAGTTTCATGTTCGCGGTGAATTGACAGGAAAGTTCAGGTAACGTGAAACAGGTCACCTTAATTAGCGCGCTCGCTCTTCCGCTTGCTAAAATGTAGTCGCTTAATGTTTCTGCCTTTGCACTCAGCCCGTGACGCTGCGACTTAAGTTTTTTTTATTTTTAATATCAAGTTTATTCCACATACCGAAGCTACACTCCATGAGCTATCACTCTCCCTCTCCTTCTCGCACTCTCTCTCCGCATCCCTTCTCCTGTTCTCCTTCTCTCCCTTCCTTTCCCGTCTCCACCTCTAGATCTCGTACCCCCTTTCTCTGTCGCTCTCTCTATCTTATAATGTCTTACGCGCGCGTTCTCTCGCTCTCGCTCTCGAACACACACACGCACTCTCTCTCTCTCTCTCTCTCTCTTTCTCTCTCTCTCTCTCTCTCTCTCTCTCTCTCTCTCTCT